TCATGTCTGCCACCACTTTTGTACAGTGGAGTTTTATGACTAAATTCAAGATTGAAAATTCTAAAATGTCCATTTGGTTTTCATTTTCGGTTTTTTTTATGTAAGGATTCGGCCAGTGGTGAATCCGAGGGGGGGTGGGGGTGGAGGGGCGGCAAAGGGGCAATCCGAGAGCCAATGTTCTTCCCATGCAGGGCTGCTGGCACTATCCAAGCACTATCCCTGCTATGTGCTTTAATGGACCGGAGGGGAGATCACTTTGCTGACAGCTGGCATGGGAGTGTGAGTGGACCCGGGAGCAAAACCTGAAGCTCCTCCAGGTCTTCCTCTAGTGAGAACGGAGCTTTGTCCTGGTTACCATGGTAACTCTCTGGATCTTGCAAGAGTGAACTCTAGCCCACTGGACCGCCACGGATTCTTTACGGGACTACCAGGGATTGAGAAAGATCCCCCATCCCCGGCAAAGGTAAGAAGGGAGGGGGGATCTAAAGATTATTTATTTTAATTTAAAAAAAAACAAACCCCAACACACACATATTTATATATATATATATATATATATATATATATATATATATAAAAATATATATATATTAATTTGCCCCCCTATCACCACACACACACAATAACCTTCACATTCACACACTGTACTCCACTTACACACTGTACCCCACATACACTGTACCCCTACACACACTGTACCCCCCACATACACTGTAACCCCCACTCACTGTACCCCCACACACTGTACCCCCACACATACACTGTACCACAACACACAGTGTACCCCCAAACACACTGTACACCCCACACACTGTACAACCCACATACGCATACACACACTGTACTCCACATACACAGTACCCCCACACACACTGTACCCCCACACACACTGTACACCACATACACACATTATATCCCCCACACACTGTACCCCCCCAAACACTGTACCCCCAGACACACACTGTACCCCACATACGCTGTACCCCACACACACTGTACCCCTCACACACACATACAAAAAACTGCACCCTACACAAACATGCTGCATCCCTCAGACAAACACGAACTGCACCCCTCAGACACACACACACAATGCCACCCTTACACACACACAGCCTGTACACCTTCACACATGCACACTGCACCCTTCACACACTGTATCCTTCACACACTCTGCAGCCCTCACAAACACACACTGCATCCCTCTATGCACCTCACACACAATTTGCACCCCTCACACACTTCACTCCTCACACATACACACACAGACACAACTGCCCCTATATCCTACAAGAGCCCTTATCCTGGCAGACTCCAGGTAAGTTGTCAAACTGTTTTAAAACGGTTTGTATACTTATTCTGGCAGGGCACCACGGCACTCCATACACCTGGATTGTGCCTGGATTGTTACTTTAAATAATCTACCAGTGCCCCTCCCGAGATTCGGTTCTTGCTCCGCCACTGGGTCCAGCAAGTATCAAATGAAAATCCTTTAATAACTTTTAGTGTTTCTCATCTGTATAACATGAGTAGCTAGACTTGTAGTCTATGCCATTGACATTATCTTGACTCATTCAGTAACCCTTCAAGATCCAGTGAATAATCTCCAAGATCAGAGATAGGAGCTCAGTGGCTAAGAATAGTTACATGAAAAATGCAGGGTAAACTACAAAACACTATGGAATCAAGTGCAACTTTGAGATTGTTTCTTGGTCTGGATTAGGCTCTATAGATAAATACTTTGCAGTTAAGAGTTAATAATCATGTTTAGATTAGTTCAGGAAATTTCAGAGACCAACATAATTTATACATAGGGAGTGTGCTTTATTTCAATAACTCATTCTTAAGTGAAAGCATGTGAGAATCGTGTACAGATATGAACTATTTAAATTATTACACAGCAAAAATGCATTGCGTCCAGTGCATTGAGTTTTATCTACCAGAATACTCTTTTAAAATTATCCAGACCAGACATTATAAAGAGCAAATAAAACAGAAGCAAAATAAATGTGAATTTTCATGTGGATCTGCTTATTCTCCTACTAAATTAATGAATTTCTAAACGTCAGCGCTGCCAAATTCCTAACAAGACCTTAAATCCTATTTGACTGCTATATAGTATAGTATAATTGTTCCCAGAAATAAGGAACATAAAACTCCACGTCATGTTCACCATAATTAGGACGAAAGAGAGTAGTTGTAAAAGTGACAAATGTAATCCACTCTTATCCATTTTGGCATTTATTTTTTGTAGCAAAACTAAAACAATAAAAAAGAGAGGTGGTAAAACATATTCTCTACTTCCGTTTGAGTTCCCTGGCTGTGATCTATGACATGAAGTTTATGTGCTGTATTTTTTTTTTTTTTTTGGCATTTACATTGATCTAACAATAAATATGTTTTATGACCACAGCTTTCATTAGGTTTAAATTCTTTTTTTTATTTATTTTTTTGTTGGATTTGATGTAGCATAACCTAATAACTTATTTTGCTAATATGAATCACTAGGTGTAATATGCATTCTAAATACACTGTTGTGTTTTAATGGCAAAACAGAGCATTTTTACTATTTCATATTTGCATAATTCTCACAAAATGACACACAAAATATGCAAATAAGCAGAGTGCACAGTGGCATTTTTCATATTTGCATCTTATATTTCTGCACAGACTCCCTATGCAGAAATATAAGATGCAAATAAAAAAAAATGGAATAGAATGGAAGACTAACAGAAATCTTAAATAGTTCCGCCACTTCTAATTTGTCTATTTACATGACATTTTGGATACATTTTAGCCTATCTACCCAGGTCTGGCTTTTCACATCACATTTAAATAAGTGAAGGCTTGAAAGCTCAAAAGCACTGAATAAAATGCTTCATCCAACTCTAAAAAACAAAAGATCTTGAACCAACTAGGAGTGGTGTTATTGGAGCATAATATTTTTTGAGTGACTGTTTCCAAATTAGAAAATCTTATCAGTTGTGATTGGTGATTCCCAGCTGAATTTGTTTGCATACTAAATGTTACTGGCACTCACTATCTTACCAAAATAAAAACCTGTCTGAAACCTGATCAAATATTGCACTCTATCATGAGAGACATAGACACTTTCAGGCTTCAGCAGCTGGGTCTAAAGCGTTCTAGGGTCCTCTGTGGCAACGAGGAAGTGGACTGGTGTAGGTACATGATCGGAGTACGGGAACTCTGCCACACCAATTATCGGTGAAATGTGAATACAGAGGGCCTGCTGTGTAGCAACTTAAAATGTTTGAGTCAATAACAGGTGAATGCTAAGTTAAAGATAACATCTGTAGAGGTTGATGTTAGAAGCAATAGGGCATAAAACGTGCGCTTGGTTGTTGGAAGCTAGTCATTAATATTTGGATAGAAATATCTACTGGCTTAGTAATAACAACAACAAGCTGGTTGGCAGATCTGTAGATATGCATTCTAGGTACAGTCACATATACACATGTACACAGAAAGACACTCACCGCAATGAGGATACTCACTGGCTGACAAACCCTCTCAGGCACATAGACGTTACACAATGTCAGATACACATTGTGATTGTGTGTCTGTATCTGTCAATGTGTGTGTTACACAATGCCAAATGCACATACACGTTTACAAATACACACTGCCAGACAAATTGTGATTGTGTGTCTGTATCTGCCAATGTGTCTGCCTATCTGTGTTTCATTGTGTCTCTGTGTATCAGTGTGTTTGTGTGCATGTATTAAAGTGTATATGTGTGTATTTGTAAGAGTGTATAAAAGTGTGCATGTGTCACTGTGTGTATGTGTATGTATACATTAGTGCATGTGTATATCCAAAGAGGCAATATGACTGCAATGTGAGGACAATATGGTATGGGCAATAGACAAAAACACACCTTATTAAACCACAGTGGCCCGTAGGTCACTGAGGTTTAGGATCTATGAAAGGGGGGAATAAATATATTTGATGTGTCAATAACAAAATAAGATAAAAATGGTCTTTATTACACCTGGACAAATCCGATATGTGCTTGTGATAATGCATACAGATACAAATAGAATGTTTCACACCTAGAAGGTTGGACTAAAAAGCTGATGAGCTCTCCAAGGAAATCTTTTTGTCTAATGAATAGCATACGTACAGCATTGTGCATCAAATCTAAGATACCATTAGAGGAGGAAGAAGAAACAGCTAAACATGGTGTAGACAATACATAAATCAGTTAGGCTGAACAAAGGTGTAGTAGGGATACAGTTGGATCAAAGTAAGAAATAAACAGAAAGGGGAGTATTCACTAAATCTTTCATTGTCCCTAAGTTAACACAGTGTTCCAGAGAAACAGAAACCTGCCTGTCTCTCAGCACACACAAGATCTGTGTGCAAAGGAAAAGATAATAAAACTCTATAAACTAAGAAAATAAACTTAAATATAATAATAAAGGCAGGAATATATAGCAGAAAGAGGAGTATAGATAGGATTTAAATCAAATTCCCAGCAAACTCTCTCCTGCCTATACCTCAGCACACCTAAAAGACTGTGTGCCTACAATAGGGTAGATATTGACTATAAACAAAGAGAAAATATTGCAATCTATGGCCCACCTAGCAATACCTCGGCACACCTACAAACATATACATACACAAGCCACCAAAAGTAGACATGTGCATTCATTTTCAGTGCATATAAACAAATCCTTTAAATCTACTGTGCAAGAGACATGTCTTCAAATTTACTTTTCTTAGCATAAATAGAGACTATATAAAGAATTATATCAGAACATTTTACTGGTGAGTTTGTGTAACTTTTTGATCTCATCACAACTTAAATTTATCTGTTTGACTTGACTTCGTAAATAAAGATTTAGGAAGCGGGTTGTCCATGTCTGCTCCAGAAACGCTGGTGGTGGATGAGGCCAATGAGAGACCGACTGATCCAGTTGCAGCAGCTGCAAGGGAAAATCTGGTCTGACTTTGATACCACAATGTCATGGCCCTTACTCTGTTTCATTGTATTCTCAAAATCTGCCCTGGGTGTGTTCTCAAAGGAGGCGACATTCTGATGAATGGTGTGTCTCTTAGCCTCCCGTTCGGAGGTTAGAGCATAAGAGTAGACCAGTGACAATGGTCAATGTTATGGGCATGAAGTGATTTCTTCAGAGAGTCCTTTTTTGGTGCTCCTCTGTTGCGGTAACCAGTGGCGAATTCACCATACAGCACTATCTTATGTAGGCAATGCTCTTCCATCCTGGAGACCTGACCTGCCCAGCGCAGCTGCAACTTTAAAAGCATTGCCTCGGTTCTGATGGTCTCTGCCTGTTCGAGAACTTCGATGTTGAGGATTGTGGGTAGTTGGTGAAAGCGTTCAAGGAGTCGCAGGTGATGGCGGTAGGTAACCAACAACTCAGAGCGATACAGCAGAGTGGTCAATAATTTATTTACACATTAAATAAATATCAGAACATTTTTAGTGCATTAGCAAAAGAAATAAAAAAAATTCCACCATAAGATTGTTGAACCATGATAATCATTTTCTTTTTCTAAAAGCAAATAAATATGTCAACCCTGACTTAAGCCAAACAAAGTTGTATATAAAAGGCTATATAAACATTGCTATGAAAACAAAGAAAAATTAGTAGTTAAACAAACATGGAAATGAAGAGAGGTTATTTAGTTCAGATTGTAAACAAAAAGATGAAGTAGAAGATTTTAAATTATGGTATGTGTAAAAAACTAGTTTTTATATTTCCAATGACCTTTTAATATTTCTTACATTTTTATCATAATTTTGTACAATGTTAGAGACTGAACTGAAAAACAGAATTTGTATATGTCAAATACTTTAGCTATTATTTACACATAAATGTAAATATAATTGTTGCTTGAATGTTGGTTGTCACATACATTTAAATTAGGTCTATGTCTTTGTTTTGATTATTCATTTACAATTTCAGTGCACATTGGAAAATCTTGCATTTTTAACGTTTTACTTTATAAAAGTGTTTGATGTGCTTTTATTTTTAGATCAGCACGTCAAAGGGAATGACCCAAAGCATTTAATGTGACCTCTCGGTCTTTAATGGTTTTTCACTAAAGTGAGAATTACCAGAAATTTAAAGTGGACTTCAAATTTAAAGCCAAAATAGCCAAACTGTAACAGAAGTGTCTTGTAGATTTTTTTTTTTTAAATTTGGCTATTTTGGCCTAAACTTTGAAATTCACTTTAAATTATCAGCAACTATCATACTAATGAATAACCCTGTCAATTTAAGGCCAATGAACTGGCATCATAGATGAATTGGGTATTTTTTCCAGTTTAGCTGTTTTGACCATAAATTTGAAATTCCCTTTGGTTTGCCAACAATTTCCACTTTAGTAAATAATATTTTTTATCATGGTGCAAAGTGCTGGAGTTTACCATTGAAATTGAATATTAAGGAATAATAACACTACAATGATTATTATACTTTTCCTGTGTTAATACTTAGCTATTATGAGCCTGTGACATTATTTATTAAATTACTTGATATTTATGCATTATTTTTCAACATTTAAAGATATTAGCTGTATGTTGAGAAACTATACATTTTATCCCTTTCTGATAAAAATATGTGGATTAAAAACACATTGCTATGACAGGCCTGTGAGCTTTGTTTTAAACTGAAACGTAAATTCACGTAAAATACATAACATTCAGATCAGGGATTTTTATTTATTTTCTGTGACATCTAGAACTCAATTATCATGAAGTAGGGCAAACTTTTATTTTAGATTTAAATAAAAAAGTAATCACTGGTTCTTTGATTTCTTATTCCAAAAGCATCAGCACACTGTACTCCTCCAATTTATATAGGGCTTTTGTAGGCAGGCATGTGACTGAATAAATGCCACAGCAGGGTACCCTCAAGCCGAAGAAAGGGAAAAATTGTTTTGAACAATTTGCATTAGTTCAAGGGCAATCTCGAGCACTTTACAGATGGTTTATTGCTATTCTTGTTCTGCTTAAGCTGTCTTTCATGTCAAAAGTCTTTTCCTGCTTTGAGATCAACAGGAAGAATTCCATGCTGTTTCACCTAAGCTCCTCCAGGGGGTTCTGACCCTTTGATCACTGATATCGTTTGCAATCGAGTTAAAATAGGGAGCTGCTGTGATAAGCTGGGGCTCTGATGGTGAACAAGAATTTTCCTTTTCCACTTACCAACTTCTTTTCTTTTCAGGTCTTGGGAACATTTAATCTCAACACAGAAGGACCACTGTTAAGGATTGATGTAAAGAAGGGTAAGTGATGTCTGGTATTTGTCCTGAAAAAAAATAAGATGTATAGTTAAAAAACAGGATTTCGCATAATCTGGAAAAATTATACAGGGTCTGACATTTTCAAAACCCTCCCCTCATTCCTTTGAACAAATACCAGATATGATTAATTACTTTTATTTTAAAGAGCTGCAATAAAATAAGGTACTCTGCTAAGAACTCAATATTGATAATCAATATTTATATATAATTTGTCTAGATTTTAAAAAAAAATGGTTTAATAATTTCCCCAAGAAATATGTTGCAGTTTTACATTTTTTAGACATATTGCTACACTGAGGTTTATTCTAATATTTTATTTTTTCAATTATTAATTAAAAAAGCTATTGTAATTAATACATCATTGTGACAAAAGCACCTTCATCATTGGGATTTGGAGAGACCTGCTTGCCAGCCTCTTGCAATGTGACTATGGCCCTGTGGTGAACTTTGGGATAAAGACACAGTTTGTGCCTTTTACCCTGCTATAGAGCATTATATGGGGCTTACCGAATGGATTAGGCTTATGGTGTTCTTTTACCGAACAAACTGTCGAACAGCCGGACCACCCGCTAGTGGAGTGTGCAGCCTGTTAACCTCCCAGAAGCTGTGGTTAACCGCAGCTTAATTGACAAATGGCTGGGTTTGTCGACGTTCGTATAGTCGAACACGTGGCGGCGGCCATCTCGTTTAATCGAACACGGTCAGCTGTGTTTTGCCGTTGAGTTCATGGAACTGAAATCGGATACTCAACGGCACCGCTGGGTCTTCCACCTCCATCTATGTTCAGCTAAATATGCACGAACAGAGCACCATTTGGTAGAATTAATCTACAGAACACACTTCAACACTGACTTTGTGCGTGAACGGTCCTGTTCGACTATTTGAAGTGCACTTTAGTAATTGGAAATAGACCGGCCGCACAGCCTAATTCCCTGGAACTATTTTGGGCATGAAGCCATACTTGCGGCCGGTTAAAAAGAGACTTCCATGAAACTTTTGAACCCCTGCTTTGATATGGGTAATTTTTGGATATGTTGTGCACCCAGATCAGGGCTATCAAGGGGATATATCTATGGGTATATGTCGTATTTTGGGGTACTTATGATACTTGGTAAAATATGTGTTTTTTTATGCTTGGGGATAATTACGTTAATACATTATCACAGGCAGGGGGGAGGGATTGTGGGCTGTATGTGGGAGTGTCTGGCATTGTTACATTGTTTCTATTGGTCTGTACAATTTGTGTCCTCTGCCCCATCAGGTCCAGTGGGTGTTCCTCTGGCCTGAAAATTTGTATAAACATCCAACCTGTACCATTACAATCTCAGATCATCTTGCACCTTCATGAAGTCTTGGCTCATGTTTGGGGGATTGGAAAACTACACTCTGGGGATTGCTATAATCATTAAGCTCTTGTAAGATCTGTTCCTGCTACACTCTCGGGACTAAGAGAGGCCTACCCACTGGAAGCTGGATCCTGGTCTTGGGTTCAGGATGGGTGGAGGACGGCGAGACCCCAACCTAGCTGCGGCGGTTTGTGGGGTTTACGGTGGTTATGGTGTTTCAGTGCAGTGCTTATGGTACTCACCAGTACTAGGAAGCAGCGATTGATGGAGGTACTCGGTCGGGGTGCCAGACGGTCCGTCACATTGGTCATCAAAACAAAACTAGAAACATTAGACGATGTTGTAGATCACCAGAGATCCCCATTGAATATTTCCTCAAAGCCTTTGCCTAAAATTTGTTCCATTCATTTTTTGATTTATGTTTCAAGTGCAACTCTGAATAATTAAAGTATTAACATAGGTATCCAGGTATACCTATTTTATTTATACTTTTTAATACAAAGATAAATTATAGGTTATCAAAATAAAGTCTAACTATTCATTATTAAAATTATATATATTTATTTAAATTTGCTGCTGACAGGTATATGACTCATATTTTCATATTTTAACCCAACCTTCTTTATGCACAAAATTCAGAATTGCCCTAGCACTCAAAATGTTGCATTTTGGATCTAAAAAAATTAATCTGTTATCTTTCCTACTTCAATTCCCACCCCATTCTGCAGTCTCACAGAGACCACTAATGAAATAAGTGTATCACTGATTAACTAAACTCAATGTCTATGTGCCATTTTTTACTCTGCCTTCTACTTTACTTCTTGTTCCAACCCTTCTTGCCACTGACTATATGAACTGTTCCACCTTGCCTCCTCATACACCATGATGCTTAAGTCATTTGTCAATGCCAGACTAGTCCATGCCTATCCAGCAACACTGTTCCCATATGTTTTGGTGACAAAATTGACGCAGTGCACTTATAATGGATACTGGGTTATTATAGGCCACTCCAACCACTTCTTTTTCCTTCCTGTGATCTCTGTTACAATCTAGAGTTGTGGTGGGTATTTTCTGGTTTTGACTTGGCCTTGTTTTTGATTACTCTGACCCCTGAAATCCTTGACTGTGGCTGTTTTATGTAAAATATTTGGATCAGTTCATTTTAATAACTCATTGGTTTTTTTTTTGCTAAGACCATCGCTGGCATCCTAGTTTAATATAATTTGCACTCATCATCCAGACTCGCAAACGTTAGGAAGAACACTGCTCCTCCTAAATCAGTGTATTACTAAATGATTTCCAAACTGGCTTCTACATTGCTCTCATGACCTAAGGTTCTCTACCAATCTCATTCAATCTATCCTCTTTCAGTTAAGCCACCCTAAATCTCTGGAGTGCAACATGTACTCTATATGTTATCTCTGGCTCTCCCTCCATCATCATTTTCAATTGTTCACTCAAAAATCACCTCCTTAATCTCTTCACTGCCAAACGGTCTGCAAAAACTAAAACATTCCCCAAAACCGAGTATTTCGGGTGTCCCAGAAAGTAGTGCTTACATTTTTTTTTTTCACTTTACATAGTACATTATTTGTAATTTAATTGAAACCAAAATGAAAATCTTGTGTGTGCAATAAAAATATTTAAATAGTAATTTACCAAATAAAGAAGTTACAGATAAGAAAATTGCGTTGTAATTAAATAACATTTCTAAATATGTAAGAGACATTTTATGTAATCCTCTCACATATATATTATCACATATAGACAGACAGATTAACAGATATGGACAGACAGACACATAGTGGACACACAGACAGTCAGATAGACAGATATATAGATAGACAGATATATAGATAGTCAGACAGACAGATATATATATAGATAGACAGATATATAGATAGACAGATATATAGATAGACAGATAAACAATTTATAGACAGACAGACAGACAGACATAGAT